TGGGAATTCATGGCCACAGCATCATGACTTTGACATAATGATGTGAATGAAGGAAGAGTCTATTTATGGTGGTCCTTGGATGTAACAATAAGGTGAATTTTAGGATAATTGCCTGTAGAAAGAGGTGTTTGGGTGCTACATTCTAGGTTTACATCTTAGGTGCCATTTAACTAACCACCTGCCTTTCGTTGTTGGGAGTGACACATTGGTTGATGGGAATGAGGTAGTATTCGTCAGTGTTACCCAGGCTTGTAAATTTCCACTTGCATTGGTAAGGAAGAAGGGTAAGAGAGAAGTAGATTTTGGAGGTGGTGAACTATCTTTTTGGAAAAGAAGGTGATTAGGAAAAAAATTATCCACACCATGGAAAATTTGCATTACCTTTGATGTTGTGCCTCTGGGAAAGAAGCTGTGTGAGAGAAGTGTTGTTCAAAGAATTATGTGCAGCAGGTAGTGCAAAGCAATGGCCTCATACCTTGGGATTGGGATCAAGCTGATGCAATGTGATGCCATGTTTTTGATGTCTTAGAGGAACAATCAGAAGGACAAGTCAATTTCTTGAAGAGACCAGTATGAAATCACTCACACTATTTTTATCGTCAACATCCCTCTCTAACCTATGTTTTTGACACCTACTCTATTGATAAGAGGCAGTGTGGTATACATGGGAGTTCCAGGGCTCAGGTATCTTCTGTCTGCTCAACTGTCTTAATTGTTGTGGGAAGAAACTATCAGCAGAAATATAAGACAGTGGCTTTCATAGGATGAAAGCCTGGTATTTAACATAATATGAAGAGTGGAAAGAAAAGATGGGTGTGGAGGGTGGGGAGTATGACAGACTTATAAACTTAGGAGTGAATCTGATCATGGGATGTACTGTCTCCATTATGACAGGTTATGAACTTTGAGGACGTGGCCATTGCCTTCTCTCAGGAAGAATTGGGGATCCTTGATGAGGCTCAGAGACTTCTGTACTGCGATGTGATGCTGGAAGTTTTTGCAGTTGTATCATCTATAGGTAAGACCTTCACATTCTCCCAGTATCCTGAGGTGATGACCTCACTTCCTTTATTCCTCAGCCATAGCTTTCTCTCTCCCACAGCCAGAACAGTCCTCTGCTGCTTTCCCCACTGTCCTGTCAAATGTGCTGTGGCTGCCAGGGATGAACTGGATGGGGAGCCCTGAGCAAAGGACTCCAGGAACATCCCTATCACCTGTTACCTCAAAAAGTATATGAAACAGAAAGTCAGGAATCTTGCATTGAGTTTAATGGGTCCCAGCTTGCACTTTCTCTTCATGGGAGGCTGACAGTGTTCGCATGCATGGCTTCAACTTCTGCACTCTTTATCTAGGTAAGGGCTCTTCGTGGCAGCTTGTGCCATGTTATGGTCTTTACATACATGAACCATGGGCTTTTCTTTAAGGCCCTCATTCAGTTGTTAGTAATATTTTCTTCCCTGAATACTATAGCAAATGGTGTTGGTCTGGCCCAGTGCTGACTGCTCACTTCTGTATCACCTGTTCCTCTGCATTTCTGCCTCTGCAGTATTCTGTAACATTGTCTTACATATGTGTTATGAGGTGCACATACGTGCTAAGTAGTCCTCAACACCAGCTACTCCTTTATTAAATTTTACTTGGTGTAAGAGGGAACCAACCTCTTGCACAGCTCGCCCTAGTCCCCAGCAGACAAGCCATGCTGAATGCTGTTAGTTGAAGGATTACCTGGAGATCCATATTCTAATCCATGTGGTGCTTGCCATGTTTGTGTTGTATTTCTCCTGAGGCCTCCCTATTTTGTGATCATCATTAGCCCAGAAAGTTACAAGAGCCTCTCATTAATCCTTCCTGCACATCTCTTATTTTCAGACAATTGCATGGAACCAATATGTGATGCATAACACACTTTTGCAATGGAACTTCCCCCGTCACACAATCAACATTCATTTCCTCACCATTTCTCACTTTTCAGGTTGTTGGCATAAAATGGAAGATGAGGAGGCCAGTTCTGATCAGAGTGTATACATACAAGGAGAGTCACAGGTCAGGGCTTCTAAGACAGCTGCAGCCACCCAGAAGACCTTTCTGTGTAAGCAGTGTTTCTCTGTGTTACAACATATTTTGCACCTGACTGGGTCACATGCAGCAGACTTTGAGCAGAAAGCCTTCTGTACTGATGTATGTGTTGGAGACTTCTGTTTCAGCGCAAACCCTCACCAGCAACAGAGGAATGAATATGGACAGGGGCCCTGGAAACAAGCTATGGACGGGGCCTCCTTTGTGAACAGGTGCAGCTTCTCCTTATCTTTGGTGACTTCAGCCAGCGGGGAGGTTGGGGAAGACTTGCAATACAACTCAGAGCTTCCCCAGCACCAGGCTACTCTCAAGACTGAGGAGCTACACTGCGGCAGTGAGATTTCACAGGAATTTCTTGATGGAAAAAGTCATCACCAGTGGGGTGACTGTGAAAACACTGCCAGCCACAATCTGAAAGATGTAAAATGTCAGGGTGCATTTTCTGGAGAAGTAATTTTTGAGTGTGACAAATGTAGGGAAGTGTTTAGACGAATCTGTAACCTCATTCAACATAAGAGAGTTCACACTGGAGAACAGCTGTATGAGTGTCATGAATGTGGGGTTTCCTTTCGTCTGAGAGCTCACCTCACAAGACACCACAGAGTTCACACTGGAGAGAAGCCATATGAGTGTAGTGAATGTGGGAAGTCTTTTAGCCAAAAATCAAATCTTATTGAACATCTGAAAGTTCATAGTGGAGAGAAGCCATATGAGTGTACTGAATGTGGGAAGTCTTTTAGCCGAAAATCTAACCTCATTATGCATCTGAAAGTTCACACTGGAGAGAAGCCATATGAGTGTACTGAATGTGGGAAGTCTTTTAACCGGAAATCTAATCTTATTATGCATCTGAAAGTTCACACCGGAGAGAAGCCATATAAATGTACTGAATGTGGGAAGTCCTTCAGTGTAAGAAGTACACTCCTTAAACACCACAGAGTTCACACTGGAGAGAAGCCATATGAGTGTACTGAGTGTGGGAAGTCTTTTTGCCAAAAATCTAGTCTTATTAAACATCTGAGAGTTCACAGTGGAGAGAAGTGTTAAATGTGCAGGAAATGTTTTATTTTATTCACTTAGAATAATAACACTGAAGGCGACTCTTTGGGACCTATTTTCCTTAATTGAAACCCCCCCCTTTTTTTTATTTAAATATATTTTATTGATTTTTTACAGAGAGGAAGGGAGAGGGCTAGAGAGTTAGAAACATCGATCAGCTGCCTCCTGCACACCTGCTGGGGATGTGCCTGCAACCAAGGTACATGCCCTTGACCGGAATCGAACCTGGGACCCTTGAGTATGCAGGCTGACGCTCTATCCACTGAGCCAAACTGGTTAGGGCTGAATTGAAACCCTTTTAATGGCACATACACTCTGCTAGATTCCTCACAAGTTTCCAATACAACTGAGGCTTGAAGGAGGTGCATTGCACTTGGTAACATGCCCAGATCTAACACCCGATTAATTTGTGGCTGAAGAGATTTCCCCTCTACCACCTGGCTCACCTGAAGACTGTGTATCAGTCCCAACCCCTGTGTGCTCAGGGGAAATGTATTCTGTGTTCTCTCTTGTGCTTGAGAACATTATGATTATTCCAGCTCCTGACAGGATCTTCATTCCTTTATCTCTGTGGAGGTAATGCACCTGACCCAGGGTTCATCCAGGGCACCCATCCTCAGCTAAGAAGTGCTGCCTCTTTCAGGGACATGTGGTTCTCACATTATGCTGTGATGAATTGTTTCAGGTTCTAATTCACCAACCTGCAAACTGCTTGCTGTGCTCTGTCTGTTTTGTGATCTTTTAGTAAAGGTGTTTTTTCTTTTGTACCTTTAATTGTCCTGGTTATATTCAATTCTAGGGATGATTGTCAAGAACAATTATGATCTAACATCGTAGAGTTAACAGATACTGTGTGAATCCCAACATTTCTGTGCTTTAGGAGGGACAGCATAATGCCAGAAAATCACTCTTTGTCCAATATTGGCTTATAGTGCATTGCTGCCCACAGCCTTGAAAGAAAGGCTGCATGACTTTGTGGTTCTAATTTGCAGGTTTGATCCCAGCCCATATGGGGATGTAGGAGGCATCTAATTTTTCTTCTTTCTCACATTGATATCACTCTCAATCTCTCTCTTCCTCTCCCCTTTCACTTGCACTCTCTCTCAAAATATCCTCAGATGAGGATTACCAAAAAAATCCAAACATTCACCCTGGTGCTCTGAGATGGGGCCTCTGCCTGCACAGCCCACCTTTTCTCACTCTTTCCTGCCTTTGCCTGGGATGTTCCCACTGTAGCTGGGCTCACTGTGCCCTTCCCAGTGTTTGGCAGAGAGGAGGCCCAGGCAAGGCCCTGGGAGGGATTTGGGTTCTGTGTCTGCCTGAGATGTGCTGGCCAGGTCTCTCCAGCCTGCTCTTCCCCACCCCCCAGGCACCTGCCTGCTGCAAATGAACCTACTTCTTTTTAAAAAAGAAAATATTTTTATTGATTTTTTACAGAGGAAGGGAGAGGGATAGAGAGTCAGAAACATCAATGAGAGAAACATCGATCAGCTGCCTCCTGCACACTCCCCACTGGGGATGTGATCGCAATCAAGTTACATGTCCTTGACCGGAATTGAACCTGGGACCCTTCAGTCTACAGGCTGACGCTCTATCCACTGAGCCAAACCGGTTAGGGCTGAACCTCCTTCTGTATCTGGGAGAAGCCCAGATGCTTTGGGCCCCCAAATCAGTTCACCTTTAGAAAATCCTGCCTCCAGCCAACCCACTCACATCCCTGTAGGCCACTGATGTTTCAGTCTCTTTTTGTCATTTTAGGGATTATTTGGCACTTTAATTTTATTAAAACTAAAGCATGCCTCTCTCCCACCCCCTCACCCAGCAGCATGGGTTCTCCAGGATATGGTGGTGTGTATATTCAATGGTGAGAACATTCTGCAGTACAGGTGTTTCCAGAAGGAGAGGCTTAGTCTCCAAATAATTCCACGTTCAGAAGATGAGTTTTGGTTGGTGTGTCTCCTCTCCCCCCACCCCCTATGTTTTCCTGTGCATACACGACCTGAAATGAGGTGATAGTTCCTGGATTCTGGGGAATATTGTGCTGTTGGGGTGTGTTTGAGGGGCAGAGAGGTTGGCTGCTTATGAACATGTTTCTGTCAGCTCATGGGTCAGGTTCCTTGAGTGGGGAGCTGAGGGAAGGCTGTAGTGTGAGAACTTGAATCAGGCTGGATGGAGGCTCAGCAGCCATGGGTGGGCATAAGGGACACATATAGACTGAGGCTGTGGATACTGTTGAGCCCAGCTGTTTCAGACGCCCCAAATACAGAGTCCCCTGTCCTTGGGAACTGGCATCTAGTGGAGAACAGTACACAATGGACCAGGATACCTGTGACAGGTGACAACAGCTGTGGGGGGAGGTCAAACCAGCATTGGTCAGTGGGGTCGAAGTCTGGGAAGGGGTGGCAGGCTCCAGGTGGGAGCCTGCCCTGTGCATTTGTGAGCTGTAGGGGGGTCACTGGCTGGTTTTAACAGCAAGGATCAGAAAGTGGTAAAAATAAAATAAATGGTGGCTGAATAGGCAGATGTATTGTGGATGTTGTCCTGAGCCAGACTGGAAATACAACTAAATTGCAGAACATCCGCCTGGTATTAACACATTAGATGCAGCTGAGCAGACAGTTTACAACAAGGAAGGGCAGAGGACACTTGGACAATGGCAAGAACTGGGAAGTGGGCTTGAGAGGGACAGCCAGTGGGCCAAGAGGGGGAGGAGAAGGCTATTTTGCTCCAAAGCTGTGTCCCTTCACGACGTGGGTAACATCCAACTGTGTAAAGGAAAGCCACAGGGCAGCTGGCTGCCAGGGAAATTGGACCAAAGGCTGCCCCATGAAGAGCTGCCCAAGCAGCGCGGTGCTGGGGAGAGACAAAAGAGCAGTTTCATTGTTTTGGTTTGGTTTTGTCTTTGCTTTTATGCTCTTAACCCAGAACACAGGACTTTCCTATTGCAAACACTCACTTGAGGCTTTGGAGCAGGGAGAGAGGCACAGACTTGAGGTGCCTGAGGAGAGGCTGAGGTGGAAAGCAGAGCAGGGAGACGTGGCCAAGAGGCCTGCATTGGGACATTCTTTTTTTTATTATTTAAATTATTTATTTTTTAAATTATTACGTAAGTCTCCTGTCCCCGCCATTGACCTCTACCCCTCAGCACATGCCCTCACCTCCTTGCTGTCTATGTCCACTGATCATGCTCATATGCAAGCATGCAAGTCCTTCGGTTGACCTTTTACCCCTTCCCCTCCCCTGCCTTCCCTCTTAGTTTGGATGGTCTGTTCAATGCTCCTGTGATGCTGGCTCTATTTTTGTTCATCAATTTATTTTTTATTTATTTACTTATTTATTTTTTAAATATATTTTATTGATTTCTTACAGAGAGGAAGGCGGAGGGATAGAGAGTCAGAAACATCAATGAGAGAGAAACATCGATCATCTGCCTCCTGCACACTCCCTACTGGGTATGTGCCTGCAACCAAGGTACATGCCCCCAACCGGACTCGAACCTGGGACCCTTGAGTCCGCAGGCTGACGCTCTATTCACTGAGCCAAACCAGTCAAGGCTTTGTTCATCAATTTATGTTGTTCATTATATTTCACAAATGAGGGAGATCATGTGATATTTATCTTTCTCTGACGGCCTTATTTCCCTTAGCATAATGCTCTCTAGGTCCATTCATGCTGTTGCAAATGGTAAGACTTCCTTCTTTTTTACAGCAGCATAGTGTTCCATTGTGTAGATGTACCATAGTGTTTTAATCCACTCTTCTGCTCATGGGCATTTAGGCTGTTTCCAAATCGTAGCTATTGTAAATTGTGCTATGAACATAGGGGAGCATATATCCTTTCTGTTTGTTTTTTCTGATTCCTTGGAAAATGTTGCTAGAAGTGTGACATTATTACCTTCCAAACCTAAACTGCCATTTCTCCCCAGAAGAGCCAGCCCCTCCCAGTAGGCTCAGGACAGGAGATACTCCTGCCACACCCTGCATTTTGAGCTTAACAGAGGAAACAAAGTCAGAGGCCAAGCTTATGGGTCTGAATAGTCCCAAAGTGCCCTCAGTGACTATTGGAAGAGGGACTGGTACACCCTGCTTTTTGGGGAATCAGACTGATAAAAACTCCAGGTTCCCAGCCAACCCCATTGGTCTCCATACAAGGATCTCTGACCAACCAAGGCCAGAGTAATATTTTGGGACACAGCTGTTGTTTTCTTTCTCCTACAGCCACACCATGGGTTCTGCAAATTGTCCTCACTGTCATGTCAAATGTGCTATGGATGCCAGTGCTGAGCTGGGTGGAGAGCCCCAAGGAATAGAATCCACAAACTTCTTTAACACTATTTTCCTCAGAAAGTGCAGATGTGTCTGGGAGCCAAGAGCCTTGCAGACAGCTTAATGGTTCCCACTTGCTGTTTCTCTCCCTGGGAGGCTGACTATATCTAGATCCATGGCTTCCACCTCTGCACCCTTCCTCTAGATCAGGGGTGGGCAAACTTTTTGACTCGAGGGCCACAATGGGTTCTTAAACTGGACCAGAGGGCCGGAACAAAAGCATGGATGGAGTGTTTGTGTGAACTAATATAAATTCAAAGTAAACATCATTACATAAAAGGGTACGGTCTTTTTTTTTTTTTTAGTTTTATTCATTTCAAACGGGCCGGGTCCAGCCCGCGGGCCATAGTTTGTCCACGGCTGCTCTAGATAAAGGTCCTGGGTGACTGCCTGTGCCAGGTTATGGTCTTTACTTACATGAACCATGGACTGTTCTTATAAGACCCTCCTTCAATTGTTGTTTGTACTATTACCTTCCCTGAATACTATTACAAGTGGAATTGCTCTGGACCAGGGCTGGCAGGTCACCAGTGTCATCTCTCATTAACACTTGGGATATTTAGCTTTTATGTATTTGTGGAGAAGGTGTGAGGGAGAACCCTAGTTTTTTGTGTGTGTTTTTTTCAAAGGGTGAACATGCCATTGTGGTCTCTTCACCTTCCACCTGGATCTTGAGACTGACCTATTTCAGATTCAGGGGGTTGAAGTGTCCAGATTCCTCTAAGATATCAAGGCTGTGAGCAGGAAAGGTCCCAGGGAAGCTGCCTGGGAGAATTGGTGCTGGGCCATGTGTGTGGCTCTGAGGCCCTCCCTAGTCTTAGTCCAGGATGATGGATGCTCTGTTCTTTGGGGACATGGTTAGTGGGAAGTGGAGCAAGCTCTGTTGCAGGAGTTCCTGGGGGGTCAAGACCTGGGATCAGCATGTGCTCCAAGTAAACATGTGACCCAGGCAGGGCCAACCTAGTCCACTGTAATGAAGTGCTCCAGCCATTGCCCTGCCCAGGGATGGAGAGGAGCTGTCTCTGCAGAGGCTGATTCCCTATCTGCCCAGCAGGAGGGGTTGCAGGCTGCTGAGGCAGGTGGTCCTGTCCTGGGTTACCAGTGTCTTGAAGTTTAGCCACCAAAGGAGGTTCCAGATATTTATCAATCTAGAGAGAGAGTGTCCCTGATCTTTCCTTCATGGGTAAGCATCCACCGTGCTGCACTGAGACTGCTCTACTGCCTGCATAGCCCACCCCTCTACACTCTTTCCTGGCTGTGCCTGGGATGTTCCCACTGAAGGGACGCTCATAAAGTGAGTTGATGGACCCTGGACTCTGGGCATAGTGTGCTGCTGGGGTGTGTGGGTGAAGGAGCAGAGAAGTTGGGGTCTGGGACAGGGCTGGAGAGGGGGCAGGGTCCTTGAGAAGGTGGGCTGAGGGAAGGTTCTAGGAATAAGAATTGGAATCAG